TCTCATTCACCTGGCCTGTAGATGCCCCATATGCAAGCATCTGTAAAGCAGCTATAAGTTTTTGCTCCGGAAAAAGACCCAAAACCCCAATAGCATCGTACTTATGAACGAAGTATGTGTCGTAATTGCGAACATTATGCATGAATTTTTTGAACAAATGGGGTTGTATTCTATATCTCTCTATAAAATAAGAAATAGGATATAATGAATTTGGGATAAAGTAATCTTCTAAGAGATTCTTATCCCGAGAGTGCCTATGTTTGTCCACGTTCGGGACACGACCATGCTGGTGTTGCCTTGATTGATTGAGCATACCCACCGCTAAAACAACTTCATTCTCTTCTTCATCCAACTCGTGATCTTCTTCAGCACGTTTGTGCCTGATTTCTTCATCTTCTCGATGTTGCCTCTCCAACACTCTCCTCAGGTTAGACACTGAGAGTAAAATGTGTTTTGTAAAATATGAGAAATGAAAGGATAGAGAGGAAATGGTGTGAAAGGTTTGTGTAAGGTTTTTATTTTGACCTTTATTGTATTTTGGCTATTCTCTTAAACCAACAAAACCATTTTAATATTAATTAGATTCTAGGTTAGAATCAGTGTGGGTTGAAGGGCTTCTATGTCTCCTCGTTGCAAATCAAAAGGTAAAATTGCATGCATAGATCACTTGGATTAATACATTCTCACTTGTATTAATCCATTCTACGTTAGTTTTTACAGCTTTGTCAGATTCCTTTATTGCATTGATATTTCTTATCTGACCAAAGCATGAGGTTTATTATATTTATCAATGACTATCTTTACAAAATATTAAACCCCTTCTTTCTAAAGACATCTTGATTATTATATTCTTTCTTGAAAAAGAATTGATTTTAAAGTCTTTTTGCACACACATCTCAACTATACTTTTGTGCAAAACATTTGCATGTGTATATGACAAAAGCTTGAGAGTATTTTAATTACTCTCAAATGGCTCATAGCCTTCTTGGAAGCATGACATTTGTTTTAAAAAAAACCCATACCCATCTTGGTCTTTACAAAATGCCTTTTGTATACCACCTTTTTGAGTGATGGGTTATATCTTACTTTTATTTTTCTCTTCGGACTTTTAAAAACTTGCTGTTCATTCTTTGTAGCCATGTGCGGCTCCCCTTGGTTCCAAAACACCCATGCCTTATTGTTTATTCTTTCCTAAGTGTTTTGACAGCTCACATGGTTTCCAAAAGAATCTTTTTATTCCTTATCCACCTTTGTGGTTTGAGCCGTTCTTTGTGTAAGTGTTTGGTCTATAGCCTTAAAATAAATAGAATTATTAAAAAGCTTCTCTATTTATACCTCCTCACTTAGACGGTTTCAGGAGGAGATCTCACTCATGCATTGAAACTTTACTTATGCTATTCAAAGTTATATTCTCTGCATAAGTCAAGCTGAAATAAATCTTCTCTTCCTCAACCATTTGTTTATACTCTTGAGGGTTATGAGAATGAATGCATTCACAAAAGTGCTTCCCTAAGATGATTTTCATTCTTTAATGGTTGATTGTTTCATTGTTTCATTGTTGTTATTTTGAATTAAACTATATGCTTCAAGTTCATTACTTCTAGTTTAATCATCACAACACTTAGGTTTCATTTGTCTAGCTCAATCATACTTTGTGATTGAGATAGATGAATCTGTGAAACCATAACGCACTTCATACATCAAACTACATGCAACTTGAGCTTGCTGCTCTTGAGGCGATTTGCTGCTAAGAGATAAAGAAAAGGTGCTTGCTGAAAGATTGGATTGTAGCTGCCTATAGGGGATAGATGAGCTAAGGCTTCTTTCGTTTTTCTTGTATTTCTTAATTGAGCAGCTTGGATCTCTCCTGGCTTGGTGCCCCCAGTTTTTCACCCTGTTGGGTTTTCTGGGTCAACAATTATCGTGTGTTATTTACATTCCTCTGTTACTAGTTTTAATTTATTAATCACGAAATTAATTGTGTTTGTGCTTGTGTGCTTTTGAAGAAGTTTATTTTAAAAAGGGTAGTCTTTTTCTTCTCGCCTACTTCACCCCCCCTCTGTAGGCTTTTAGAGCTTAGGGCCTGGTTTTACAGTTTGAGTTGAGGGTGTAGTTTTATAGAGGGATTTAGAAGATAGAGATGACACGTGGCACAATTTTAGAGGGTGAAAATCTTATTTGATATTAGAATTTTATAATACATATCGACACGTGGCAACCAGGAATCTTATCCGAAAATCTTTTCTGAAATTTGAGATCTAAATGTTATAACAAAATATGGACACGTGGCAACCGAAAATCTTATTTGAAAATTTAATCATAAAATTTTATCCTAAAATGTTATACGAAAATGTTACCTGAAATTTTAGATGAGAATTTTATAATAAATAGTGACACGTGGCAATCGAAAATCTTATCAAAATTAATCATTTAAGTATAAAAAAATAGAAAATAAATAAAGTGGATAGTAATTGCCTTTACCCTTTCCCATAGGGGTGGAAACAAAAAAGGCAAGGGCTGCCACTATTCACATGAATAGTGATAGACCTTGCCTTGCCCTTGCCCTTTGGGGTGGAAGTGCTCTTACGGCATGTTTACGTATCAGTAATGGAGAAAGTAAGGAATCAGATAATTTAGGAATCGGGGAACTACTGAATCGGTATGGGAAGAATCATTCCCATTAAGCTGTTTACTAAACATACGGAATTAGTAAAGGAATGGGGTTGATTTCCATTGTTATTGTTTACTAATTTTCATGAATCAGAATCCAAATTAATTTGATTACTAAAATGCCCTACACATTTTCACCACAGCACATGATTTGCACAAGTGAAGTAAGGGGAAACTGCAGCAGAGCCTCGGTGAAGACCAGACCAAGAATTCTAAGGAAATATTCTACTACTCATGCCAGAACCATATTTGCATCAATACAAAATTTCAGAAAAATGCTTACTCTCAACGAGGCATTCACAATAGGTAATAAAAGTAATTTAGAACCAGAGCACCTAAAAGGCTAGGAATTTATAGAATGTATCACAAACTCACAATAAATATGCAAAGATCAGACCAAACTATTGGAAAGGGAGTTTCAAATTTATCAGTAAGAGGGAATCCGTTATCAAAGAAAATTATCAGCAATTTATTCTGAACCAAAAGCTAGACAAGCTAACCTGGCTAAGAAATCTTTGATCAAGTGAGATAAAATTCACAAAAGAAGTCACCTAAGGGCTATGCAGTTACAAAGAGAACAGAGAAAACCAACAAAAGCAGAGCCAATTCAATGATCATGTTAATAATACCTTTGTCCAGAGCCAATTTCAAATGAAAAAATAAACTCCAATAAATTTATATCTTTCACCTACATAACTAGTAAACAATCAAATAATAATAATCTGCATAATCTTCATACGATTAAATACATAATAGTCATACTACCAAAAGAAGAGATATATAATCTCTACAAAAGTCATTCACCCATTACTCATCAACCACAATCACTGTAAGCCATGCTCCATAAGATTAAATACATAATCTTTTTTTTCTTCATCAATCATGGTAAAGAAGACCCTCAGCAAATCGTGCTCTTTGGCTAAAATGTTGGTGATACGAAATACTTGCAAAGGAGATAGGAATTCTATTTTCCTCAATTCACCACCAAGGTTAGCTTGCATATCAGCAAGATCCTTCTCTGTGGAAAGAACATTAACCAAGCTTGCAAGCTGAGGTGCCATTCCTGCTACAGCTTCAGCCATAAGTCCAAATTTGTTAGACATTTCATTCAAAGCATTTACCTTCCTACGAGGATTATTTGGACCACTTGCTACATCTTGTGCGGGTCTCTTCTGTTGGGCACGTTGTTGGGCACTTGAGGGTTGGGGGTTTGGTTGTGTAAAGGTTGTCTCATCATCTTCCAAATCCTCAACATCCTCAAATTGAGATCCCTCATATTCTGAACCCCCATATTGTGACCCACCATCAGGATGTGAAAACATCTCCTCAATAAAGTCATCCCCCACACTTCTATTCTTATGAACACTTGCATCATCTCGCCTAACGTCTTCTTCATCATCATCAGCATTTCCAGCATTTGTTCCAATAGCACGATCTTTTCCGTATATCTCTCCAAGTGCATAGTAATGTGGAAACGACTTGCCATACAAACCACTTGCATCCTTTTTGTTCTACAATTACAATATATATCTGCATTAGTATTCTTAAATAAATATTAAAGACATAGCATAACATATGTATTTTTTAATTCAATACGCCCATAATAGGATATGCTTAGATTTACCTTTGCCCATGCATCAAATACACTTTTCTCACGTACCAACATCATCTCCTCTTCATTCCACCCAAAACCACTTTGAGATAATGCGTCAGCTAAAGCACCATATTTTCCCTTCAAAGTCTTCACCCTTGATTCAATATGGGGTGATGCCTTCAACCCAGAATTCGGAAGTTTGACTTCTAGCATAGTTTCTAATTTATTCAAGTATCCATTTTTAAAGCCTGAGTCACCTCGCCAATTGGTATTCTGATGGAGTTCCATCAAGCATTCCATCAATGTGTTATCCTCCTTAGTTGTCCAATAGCGCTTATTTTGTCCCCTTCCTCCCTTTACTTTTCCACTTGAAGTAGCAGTAGAACTCATGACGATAAATGATCTACTACATAAATAAACAAAAAAAAAAATACATTTTTTGAATCAAAAGGCATGACAAGCAAGCAATGTCATATAACAGATGTTGTCAATGTCAAAGGCATGAAAAACAATCAATCTGCTACATAAGTGATGAATAACATGTAATTATTGAAATTTTTGAATTTCCAGCTCTAAAAAATGAATGAATGAATGAATAAAAAGGTTCTTAAAAACACAGGAACTCACATTAGTTGTTCATATTCAATACATTACATAAGCACAATAAATAAATAATGTCTTGAGTACATTAAATAACATGATAAAAACAAACAAATAATGTGTTCATCACATGTCTTTATTCCCTATTTCCATTCCATGTATTCCACATTTCATTTGCAAGGTTTTGCCTCCATACACTCCACTCGTCTGAGGACTCAACTGTACCAATGTAATCATTTGTTTCCAAAGTTCCATCTACAAGCTGATTGTCCACTTGATGTTCAATAGGATCCAAAGCCATCTCTCTTCTTATAAAGTTATGGAGCATACAACACACAGAAATTATACGACGTTGTGTTATAATATCATAAAAGGATGGACTCCTAAGAATTGCCCAACGCATTTTTAATAAACCGAAACACCTCTCAATAACATTTCTAGCACTCGAATGTTTCATATTGAAAAATTCATTTGGTGTCTCAGGTCGATGGCCATCCCTCCAATCATTAAGATGATAACGTTGTCCTCTAAAAGGTGCAAGGAAGCCTGTTCCGTTGGTGTAACCAGCATCCACTAAGTAATAATAACCTAATGTAAAAACAAAACAGTAAGAGACATAAACCTAAAGTGATATTTTATGCATAACGGAAAATGCACTAAATTAAAATATTAGTTTTTAAATATTACCATTAGGGACTTTTAGTCCATTCCTCCTACTCAAAGCATCTTTAAGGACTCGACTATCATGTGCAGAACCCTCCCATCCAGCCAAAACATATATAAACTGCAAGTCTTGAGAGCAGACTCCCAAAACATTCGTTGCTATTTCACCCTTCCTTGTTCTGTACTTTGGTTTCTCTTGTTCCGGTACCTTCACTCTAATATAGGTTCCATCTAATGCTCCTAAACAGTTCTATATTAAAATATAAAAAATTATTAATAAGGTTCTTAAAAGAAAATAAGTATTTTTGTTTTGAATAATTTCATAGCTATAAATAGTGCATACCTTAAACCACTTCCACCTATAGTCTGTTGAGTTCTCAGGTATGGGTTCAGGTAATTTCCAGAAATCCTTTTGGCATCGAATCATTGCCTTCAAGCACTCATGAAAATATTTACTAACAGTTCGTCCCGATCTAGTAAAATTAAATTTTATGACGCGATTCTTATGATGGTGTGCAAGAATATTTAAAAAAATTGCAACCATCTCCTCTGTGGACATGTTTCGGGTCGATCGTAGTTCTCCTTTAGTGACCAAAATTTGACAAAGCTTATGAAAAGATTGTCTATCCATCCTTAGTTGGTCAATACATGTAGTATCACTCTCATAAACTAGTCCATGTAGGTATTCTAGTTGTTTGTAAACTCTTATCACCGAAGGAAGACTTGGTCGACGACTTTTTCGATAAGCTAAGCGTGCATAGACATAACCCGCAACACATACAACAAATATTATTCGAAGGTAGACAATCAAAGCATTTATAGTAACACGCAGTTTCCTCTTTGTGGACAAACTTAATCGAGCCATTTGTCTACATGACATTAAAATATATATATATTATTCAAGATATCAATACCTCAGTATCTGAGAAAGTTGAATTTTAAGAATCTTACCAAATTTGGGATATGATATTGCTTCGCAAACGTTGCTTTCGTGCTCAACAAGATATACTCACAGTCACTTTTATTGACACCTGCAAAGAACCAAAATTGTAAAATTAAATATAAGCCTTTGCAACGTGTACAGAAAAACATCAGAAAGTTTCTTAGAAATTTTTTTCGGAAATTTATTTGGAACTGTTATTGAACTTTAAAAGGTAAGGAAGATTGGAGACAAAATCATCCAGAGTTTCCAAGAGTAAATAAAGAGAAATAACCCTTTTCACATTCTCCTTCAGAGCAGGTAAAGGCCTCACAGCAGCATTTGCATTCGGTGCTCCTGTGCAATAGAATTATTGAATGGTAGAAAACTTAGCACAATAGAATTATGGAATGCAAGGGAGTCTGTAAAAAATCTTGAATTATTTAAATCTACAGGGCCAAATAAATCACTTTGTAGTAATTATCTAAACAAAAAACAAAATAGATTCTTAGAATAGTAATTATCTAAACAAAATACATGCGTGAGTGTTTTTTATTTTATTTTAAGTGGCTGTATGGTTTGGGTTGTTTTAGAAGCAAGGCAGTGCGACTGGGATTATTCTAAAAGCAAGCCCCAAATTTTTTTTATACAGTTCTCATGACTATTTAGGGTTTGGGTTGTTTTGGAATTATGGTAAAGTGGTAAGGGTATTTTTGGAAGTTAATAAGGGAAAACATGAATGGGAATCGTATCGACTACCCCCCTAGTTGATCTGATACCTGGTTTTGACGGGATGTGATTATGGATTTTGAGGTAGGGCCCACTTATTTTTTCATTCCTGATTGCAAGTAACGCAGGGGAAGTCAGGAATGGAAATCATTCCCTTTCCTCACATACCCATTACTGATACGTAAACATGCCCTTAAATATTTAGATTAGAAGCCAAATTGATAACTGAAACTTGTGTTTATGCAAGGCCTTGCCACTTAAGTTGTTAAGAGCAATACCGTTCGAATTTCGCATTCTCAATATCGATGGTATAAAAATAAACTTGTATTTGGTGACTTGGAGTTTGTATATTTGGATTCCTTAATTTGTGAGGATGAGTATGGATTTGCATGAACATGATTTGATTTGAGTTAATTGGTTTTTTTTTTTCTTTTATAAAAGAGAAACTTCATTAAATAAACTTCACCAATACAATCAACGACATCAACATCACATCTAAAGTATCAATCCCAACAGGGCAACAAACTAACATGTTACAAACAAAACTAAAGCAGACAAAAGCCACACTAAAACTACTAGCCAACATTACCACAATTAACCGAAACCTTAAAGCAACCCAAGTGCCTAAATGAACCCTACCACCACCACCTAAAGAAGCGTCGTTGAAGCCACACCCACCACCGCATCCGTTACAAATTTGGGGAAAACATGGTTTCTAACGATCTACACACGCATAAGAGCGAACTAATAAATGAAAACAATAACCCTGGTAAAGAACAATTGGATGATTTGCAGCAACCTCCTTCAAATACGATATCGGCTAAAATTTAGAGAATATGAGCAATGTTAGAGATTGGTTTTGGGAGAATGGTTTGATTGAGAACTGATAAAAGAGGTGATGAGGAACTTCAATATAAGCATGGCTCAGAAAAAATCACCACAAGGGACTTCTTATTCAAACGCCCCAATGCACTTATTCACTGACCCAAAAGAAAAAATGTGACAAGAAATGAGAGAGAGAAGGGGTAGTAATGCTTCTTCATCCTCCCCCCACTCTATAGAATTCTCCTTTTTCTAGTTTATGCTCATATAAAAAAGCATCAATCTTGCAGAGCTTTGATCAGGCTAGCTCTATTGAAAATCAACTTTGCGGAACTCCACTCAATAATGATTGCATTATTGCCTTAGGTTTATAATTGCAAATATTCCAATAAATAATTATAATTAAATACATGAAATGATATGTGCTATATGTGCACTACTGCCTTTATAATTAATTGCAATACTCCCTTGGACTCTAATATGAGTTATATATATATTATTTTTATTTTAAAGAAATCATAGGTTCTATATGTGTTTAAGGAATAAGATAATTTTAATCGAACGTGTGTTCCCTCATGATAATCGTAATGTTCAAATATTTATATTTAAAAAAATATAAAAAATATGAAAAAATCTCTATAAAAAAAACCCCTAACAAACCCATAATATTTTTTTTCAATGAGATAGACTTCAAAAAATAATTCCCAACTTAGCAAAAATTAATAATTTAAAGGTTTCAAATTCTCAACTACTCTGTCACAACACTACAATTTGGATTTTGAGATCTTACATAGACAAAGAATAAAAAAAGTGTGAGTTTTTGAGTGAGAGATTGAAGAACAAAGATAGGAAGACTGATAATATGAGAAAAGACGGATGCGTGGAACTGATAAGGATTAAATTTTAGAGAGTCTCTCACGCCCCAAAATCATACCAAAATTCACTGAAAGAACAATTAAGTTAAACTCTTGAACTTGCTCAATTAGAACTACCACGATCTGCGATGTTACCAAAACTAAACATAAACACTTCTATTTCCACATAGTGTATCCACTAGTACAACACTACAATTTAAAGTCTCCCAAAACAAACAGATCTTCTAAACAGTAGCCAATACATCACCAAAAGAGTCAATCTTCTACTTCGAGCTAATATGAATCGGAAGGGAAAAGGGTGAGCTACAAAGCTCAGTAAGCAACTATATATGGCCACAAGTGAGTGTGAGAATCACAACTATACAATATCTGAAAATGGGACTAAAAAGAGTACAGATTCATAGTCAAAATCAGAGAAACAATAACAATGAGATAGCTTCTATAATCCTCGTTAGGGTTTCAAATCAGGCCTCATGGTGGTTGCATGGGCCTTATTATTAGCCGGCCAAAGGTCTTGACTCCTTCAAAAGAATGCACAAATACTGTAATTCAGAGAGTCTAAATTAACCACAAGTTCAGATGCTATTTAACATTCAATTATGAGTTCCTTTAACAATCAAATGATGGCAAATATAGCTGAAGTTACAATGGTACAATGTTGTGATATCAGTAGAAACAATGAAATCCTGAACAGCAACTCAATACCAAAGAAACTAAGATATTCAGAAAGATGGAAGCAAAGCAAAGCAAACACCATAATAGATAACTTACCTGATTCCATAGGCTGAAACTATAGTCTCCAAAACACTTCAGCCTCTTCTTAATGGAGCAAGCAATCCTAGAGCTCTTTAGCTTCTGTTCTCTTTTTCTCTAACAACCTGGAGCTATGTTTTCATGCTACCTATAGTATGTGCAGAGACAAGCAGAAGCTGGAGTGTGTTAGTGTATAAGCATTGAGCTAATATGAGTTTAGGATTAATAAGCCTTGTATTTAATTGTGTATTCACTTTGTCTTAGAAAATGACAAGTGTAAGGCTGAGATGTAATATTGCTTGTGTGCATCCAGCTAAGGCAAAAGCTTTTGTCATACATGCTAAATAGAAGAATATACACACATTGCTCTCTGACTTGGAGAGTAAGCAGAGCATTTAGACAGATTGCATTCTTCCATTTTCTCTTTGTTCTTCTCTCTGCAAATATACTCAATTGAAACCCAGCTAAAGATTGAAAACACTAACATGGCCTCAGAGCCTAGTTCGATCATTTGAAAATCTGGGCGTACACTGTGTTGCAATTGAGCTACATTCAAGCTCGTTCTGGTTCAGGTGAAGTCGCTGGAACTCCATAGATTCCGGTTTAGTTTTTTATTTGAGATTCATATCATCTAAGCTAAGAGATGGCTGGATCTGGAAGTTCTGAGGTGAGAACTCCGATCTTCTCTGGTGAGAACTACGAGTTCTAGAGAATCAAGATGGTGACGATCTTCAAATCACATGGGTTATGGAAATTGGTTGAAAAGGGGGTTACGACCTCAGATCCAAAGAAGAAGAAGGCTGAAGGAAGCTCAGAAGAGGTAGATGATGAGAAAACAGTGGCTGCCTATATGCAAGATGCAAAAGCTCTAGGTATTATCCAGAATGCTGTTTTAGACTAGATTTTCCCACGAATTGCCAATGCTGAATCAGCTAAAATGGCATGGGATTTGCTGTATGGAGAGTATCATGGTGGTGATCAAGTAAGGTCAGTAAAATTGCAAAATCTGAGGAGTGAATTTGAGTATGCTAGGATGAGAGATGATGAAACTCTATTTGGTTATCTTACTAAACTAAATGAACTAATTAATCAGATGAAAACGTTTGGTGAAAATTTGTCCAATGAAAGACTAGTATAGAAAGTTCTAATTAGCCTTAGTAAGCCATATGATTCTATCTGATTGGTTTTTGAGAATACAAAGTGCTTGGAGACTGTAGAATTGCAGGAGGTTGTAGCAATTTTGAAAAGCCAGGAACAGCGTTTTGATATGCACACTGTTGATGCTACTGATAAGGCATTTGCCTCCTTCTCTGTGAGCTCAAAAGGGCA